AGAACTTAATATATAAAAAAAAACACTACAATATTCCTATAATAAATCTAAAAGTTTAAATAAGATTTTGTAAAAATAGAAATTTTTGCTTTCTAAGAACTTCTCTTGAAAATTTTTGTAATTTTTTTTAATTCCCTGGTAACTTCGCCAAAAACTTGATCCCGACTTTCTACGTAGATGTAAAATGCAACGTATGTGATTATTTGTTTAATTTCCTTAATAGTTATTCTTAATTTGTAACAAGGCCAAAAACTTTATCGAAAGCAAAATTTAAGTAAGTTTTCCTCTATGAAATAAATAATAAAACAATTATAATATTTAAACATGGGATATTATGCACGTATACGTATCATTATCAAGTAATATAAGACTTTTCAATTAAGCCCGAATATCAAACCCATAGGGAAGAGTATCAATATGCACTTACGTAAACTAGAAAATTTTGATGACAAATTTTAACTTAGCAAAATATTGTTTCTTAAACTTAAGAGGTTATAATAGGAATGAAAATTTGATTCTTTTTGTAATTTTTGATATATGAAAAAAAACTAAGCAACTAATTAACTTAACTAAATATTTTGCAAGATGAAGACTATATAAGTAAAATATCTTTTTATTTATCATGAATCGGAAATAAGTATATAAATTATATTATCGAAGTATGCTAAATGTGTTGTGCCAAATAGGAGCAATAATATTATTTACCCTTACTAGAGATGCCATAAAGAACATTGGCTAATCTATAGTTTGAATAGACTGGAAGACCTGCTTGATAGGGAATATACCAGCTCTCACTCTAGAGTTCCCTCTTCTACCTCCACCTGGGGGCTAACATCTCATATCGAAACCTAAAACTTTAAATTAAATCAAATTGGGGGCTTTAGCACTCTAAATTCTTCTAATTCTACACCCTTAAAAAGTCTATTTCCCTATTTAAAAAGTCTATTTCCCTACTTAAAAAGTCTATTTCCCTATTTATTTGCACTCAACCCCATGAACTACATTCTCATTCATGAAATAAACATGTGACTCTAACCATTGGTTGACTGAGACAATACCATCTCAGATCTTACATGTTCTCACAACAGGCATTAACATCTTAATTGTCCAAATCAAGAAGTAAATGAAGTGCAAGTTTTCAAAGCATCAAAACTTCTTCTAACATTGAAGTCTAATACCTCACACAACTTCCTTTAAACACTTAATCACTTATCATTTTAAGGAAAAAGAGAAAGAAAACTACTCAAAATCCGTGGAGAAAACACAACCACACATGAGTTTAAAAGTAGAAATCATGCACACAAACAAGAAATCTAGATTAAAGCCAAGTATAGTCACACTGATTAACACTTATATCAAATCTTGTCCACCAAATGTCTTGAAGTTCCTTTGAATTATCTTCCTTCACTGACATTACAAACTAATGCTCAAAATAAAAGAAAAGTGGCCACCCCCCTTATATTCCATCATAGAAAATTAGTCATGGATAGCATTTTTCCTGCTCTAGTAAGCATAGAGAGAAAAGAAGTTTTTTAATTCTGAGATGAGCTTTTAGCAATGATAATATTCTATTATTTAAATGTCTCAATATTAAATTATTTTTCTTTTTAGCTTTGTGAACCAGTCAGTCATCCTCTAAATCCTTTATGGCCACCATCTAATTTCCATCTATTGAACCATTATCTATTATATTTAAGTTAATAATAGGATACTCCATAGGGGAGGAAGCAATTCAGTGATAGCACACATATCTTTATTCAAATTCAATGTACCATCCTCATTTACTTTTGCAACACCAAAACCATGATCAGCTAACATTTCAGCATCAACATCAATACATGGTGGACTAAGATCTGGAGCATTATCAATTAGAGGAGTACAACCAACAAAAAAGATGTAGCATTAAGAGGAGGATGTGGAATACCATCATCATCAATAATAGGAACATCCATAGAGTAATTATCTAGTTGAATAGGAGACAATGCAGTTAAAGGAAGTAGTTCAGTTTTTGTAGTTATAGGATTAGTCTGAAGCTTAGCAACATGTGGCTTTTGCACCGGAATAAGACTTTTAGCTTTAAGATGAGGATGAAATCAAAAACATTTATTAGCGGTATGACCAACAATTTTGCAATGATGACAAAATAAAGGTCTATGCTCCATAATAATTGATTTCCAATAACCATTTTGGGCTGTGCCTAGCCAAATTTCATTCACTTCAGGAAGGTCTTGTTATACAGAAAGTACGGATATCTAGTTTCAGAGGTTTCCCCAATGCAGAATTTGATGATTGAAAAAGTGCAATTTAAGTCCTAGTAATTTAAACCAAAAAGGTACTATATGAGATTCCTGACCGAGATCAAAATCTAGTGACCATTTATGCATCTTCATATACCTACCTTAAATTAGAATAAACTTCATAAAAAAAATATTTGCATAAACCTCTTCATTTGTAAGATGACTCATAACATGTTCGCCATCAAACATTCCAATCTTCGAAGAACTTGTCAGTTTAAGTCCTTCAAATACCTTCCTTATACTTTCCATCTTCAGGTAATTGGAATTTACCAATAAATGTAAATTTATTAGAATAAACCAATAAAGAAAGTTCTACATCAGAAAAACCAAGGCCAGCTTCCCACCTTTCTTCACACTCTTCTTGATAAATTTATAATTTCCTTTTCCATCCGCGAAATAATGATAGGCTTGAGGGAATACCAGTTTATCAACATTATCACCATCAAGAATGTCATGCCCCACCACATCCACAAAAAGAAGATTTTCCAGGAGGAAAATCAAGAACCGAAAGAGGCAAAGAATTTGACATGAGATCAATAAAATAATAAGAAAAATTAATTCCTCAAAAAGAAAACAAACGTCTCCCAGACATCTAGGAACAGAGACTCAATGGAACAGTAAGATCTAAAAAAAAGAGAAATATATAATATATATAAAGATGCTAGCGGCTGGAGAAGGAGCTCTGCTAGGGTTTCTGGCCGGATGAAGGAGTGTAGTTGCTGTTTCAAGTTGGTGGTGGTGGTGTTAGCCCTGCTGGCTGTCTTTGGTGAACTTAGAGTTCACTAGTTGTTCTCCTTTTACTGCTCCTTAAAACCTTTCTTTGGCACTGTTACATTGGTGGCTGTTGTTCCACTTTCAGCTCATTTCAGTGGTACTGTTCCATTGGCTTCCCATTCTTATTTGTTCCACTAATACTGAGGGAGTTCTCATTTCCCCTGGTCTTTTTGGGACATATTCTTTGTTGGGCTCCCCTTGGGGAGAAAACTCCACAGGTCTTTCTTGCTTGCTGTCACTTTGGGTTTCAGAAGTGGCTCTGCCCGATTTTCTGTTTCCTCTTGGACAGCTTTTGACTATCTAGCTAAACTACATGCTCTTGCTTATTTTGGAATGGTGATGGCCTCTTCCATTGATATTACCATAGATTCCCAATGGACTAAAGCAACCTATGCTGGTGTGGTTGGAAAATCAACTGAAACTTTACAAGATTATGATCTTTTGGCATTCCCACAGGAATTCCATGATACTGCTGCTGGAAAAGGAAGTAGTCCTTGTATTCACCCTCCTGGGTCTAAAGAAGGTGAAACAGCTGTCTACTTCACTACCAAGGAAATTGATGCTTTAAGGGAAGAGGATAAGTTCACTTTGGTGGGCAAATTTTAGCTAGGACATCCCAAAATGGAGCTAGTTAGAAGTTTCTTTGAATCACTGAAGTTCATAAGTAATTGAAAAATTGGGCTTTTGGATGGGAGGCATCTCTTAATTTAGTTGGCAGCTGAGGAAGACTATCCAAGATTGTTTGCTAAACAATCTGTTAACATTGCTGGAACAAATATGAAAATTATCAAATGGACTCTAGGGTTTGGTCCTAGTGAAGAACCTCCTGTGGTCCCCCTCTGATTCAAGTTACCTGGCCTTCCACTCCCTTACTTCAAGCATAATGCTCTATTTAACATTGGTAGAGCAATAGGTACACCTCTAAGACTGGATTCTCTTACATATAATAAGGCCAGACCTGGCCTTGCTAGAATTCAAGTTCAAAGAGATATCACACTCCACGAACTAAAGATAATTTGGATTGGTTCTGATGCTGAAGGGTTATGGCAGGAAATAATAGCTGAACAAAAACCTTACTACTGTCCACATTGCAAGATGTTTGGTCATACAGTAGACAAATGTTATAGATTACATCCCCCAAACAGGAAAATGGCAGGAAGAAACCACACAGCTACTGAAAGAACTGTAACCAATGCTGCAAGGAGTATTGCTAAAGAAATAATGTTAGAAAATAGATAGGAAACAAATCAAAGGGTGGAAGAATCACCCCTAAGAATTAATGAGGTCCCACCACATGTTGATCCTATTGGAGAGCTATCTGAACCTAACAGTCAAGTTAACACTCCACTACACAGATCTATCAGAAAGAAAGATACGGAAATCACAATTATCACACGCACATTCCCTTTACAAGCTGAGAAGGGGAAGCAAATCATCACAGACATACCTAACAAAGCTCCAAAGGAACCAATCATTATTGAAATGAGACAAATCATTGAAGAAGATTGGCAAATTAAAACAACAAGGAGAAGAAGAAAATCAGGGATAGAAGTGCAAAAATTACAGTCAGGAGTACACTCTATGAAGGCTGAAAGAGCAAGAAATGGTTCTCCAAACCTTAGAGGAAGAACTAGATCAAGATCTCAGCCTTCTCCGCACCCTCCACTTCATGATTAATCTAGTTTGCTAGAATATAAGGGGGATGGCTAACCCTCTTTCCCAGTCTTATTCCTAAATTTTAAATACAAGTTGTGGTGTATTGTTATCCTTGAACCCATGGTTCACAAGAACCCTCAAAATCTGATTAAAAAGTTTGTTGGTTTCACCCATTTTTGTAACACTAACAACAAAATTTGGATTTTTTGTAGAAGAGAAATCAACTCCGATATTCTAATTGATCATCCATAATTTGTCCACCTTTCTTTCAATATGAATGGACAAAAGGGTGAAGCTACCTTCATTTATGCTGGCTGCACAAAGGATGCTAGAAAGGATCTGTGGAATAGGTTGATTAACATCAGCCAACAGGTGGAATCCCCATGGCTGTTGAGGGGAGACTTCAATTGTATCACTTCTACTATTGAAAAATCTGGAGGAAGAGCCCCAAATCCTGCCAAGATGAACACCTTCAGTGATAATATTTACAGGGATGGTCTCTTTGATCTGGGATTTAAGGGGCCTACTTTCACTTGGAAAAGGGGAGCTATTTGGGAGAGGCTTGATAGATTGTTGGTAAATGATGCATGGTTTAGCCATTTTCTCCTCACCTTGTTCACTCATCTTAGTCTTGCTGGCTCTGATCATAGACCCATACTTATAAGCATTACTTCAACTGATAATTATAACTCCTGCCCCCCTTTTAGATATCTTAACATGTGGGCTGCACACCCTTCCTACAATAAGTACATTGCTGACCTATGGAAAGGGGTTTCCCACCGTGACCCCTTTGTCAAGCTAAGTTTACTGCAAATCAAGATTGTTAGAGCCCTCAGAAGTTGGAGCTGGGAAACTTTTGGAAATGTGCATGCCAAATTCCAGGAGGCTGAAGATGAAGTCAAAAATTTGGAACAAGGAGAATATATTGGCAATGTGTAGGAAAAGAAACTGATGATTGCTCAGAACAACCTTCTTTGTGCCATTGATTACTAGGAAAAAATCCTTAAACAAAAGACAACCATGAATATTTTCACTGATGGGGATAGAAACACTAGATTATTTCATGCCTATATTAAATATAAAAGAAAGTGCAACACAATCCATGCTATTAAAAATGCCAATGGCCAGTGGTTATGCGATAATACTAGTATAGCTAATGATGTTATAAGTTATTACAAAGATTTGCTAAACTAGGACCACAACTTCAGACCCCATATTGAGAAGGCACACTTCCTTGCTGAACAGAATTATACTGTTGGCCTCAAGCTTACTGGTATCCCCAATGAAAAGGAAATTTGGAATGCAATCAGCTCCATAGACAGCAATAAATCTGCTGGCCCTGATGGCTTCACTGCTGAATTTTACAAGAAGTCCTGGGAGATTATTAAGGCTGATGTTATTGCTGTAGTAACAAGCTTATTCCAAGGCAATAATATTCCAAAGTACTTTTGTTCCTCCACCACTGTGCTGATTCCTAAATCTGATATACAGCAGAATTGGAACCAATTCATACCTATCTGTTTGACCACTGTCATTAGTAAAACCATCAGCAAAATCATTGTGAATAGGCTACAACCTCACCTGGATTCCATAATTAAACCCAACCAAACAATGGTAGTTCCATCATTGATAACACTCTTCTGGCCCAAGAACTATTACAGGATTTGAATAAAACTTGTAGAGGGGGCAATATGGTTTATAATTTGGACTTAAGGAAAGCTTATGATACCATAAGCTGGGATTTCATAATGGAAGTTCTTTCTGCCAAAGGCTTAAACATTGAATTCTGTCACCTAATTAGGAGATGGCTACATAACAATGAACACTCCATCTTGATAAATGGGCAAGGGAGGGGTTCTTTCACTACTGCTAGAGGATTAAAGCAAGGGGATCCATTATCACCCACCATTTTTATACTTGCTATTGATTATTTATCCAGAATTCTTGATGAAGCTTTGCTGAATCACAGTCACAACAGATATCATCATAGATCCAACATTGTCATTAACCATTTACTATATGCTGATGACATAATGGTCTTCTCGTCAAATGGTCTTCAATAAACATGCATCCTCTACTCATAAACATTGGGCATCTGAATATACTGGCTTTACAACTTCTCAACTCCCTATTAAGTACCTTGGGGTGCTTCTTATCACTGGCAGAACCAAATAAATTCAATTTGATGAGGTATTGAACAAAATTTCTAGTCTTCTCAATGGGTGGACACAGACCTTCCTTTCTAATGGTGGAAGAATTACTTTCTTAAAGAGCATTATTACTAGCTTCCCATCTTATATACTGTAAATGACCACCATTAAGAAAAGTACCCAAACCCAGCTGGAAAGAATATTCAATAAATTTTTGTGGTCAGGTCAAAGACAGCAATTCCATTGGGCTTCCTGGAGAAAAGCTGCTAAACCTCAAATTGCTCGGGGAATTGGCTTTAAGGATCTTGAGCAACTCCTTCAAATCAATTTTTGTAAACTCTGGATTAAGTTTAGAATCCAAAATTCCCTGTGGGCGAAATTCATGTGGAGTAAGTATTGTAAAGATCAGCACCCCACACTGGTCCTAAGGAAAAATGGTGATTCTAAAATTTGGGTGAAAATGCTGAAAATTAGACATATTGTGGAAACCAATTACAGTTGGGAATTTAGCAAAGGTGATATCAAGTTTTGGCTTGACAATTGGTGTCTCAAAGTCTGGTTATCCCCCATCAACAATATCTACAATAGTGATTTGAAAGTGGCTGATTGCTGGGATGGTGATGAATGGTCCCTGGAAAAGTTATCTAATCTTCTACAACCTCACTCTATTAGAAAAGTGGCCAGTATAAAGTTTAATAGAAGTACAGCTGACAAAGTATTGTGCCAGAATACTTCCCACTAAAGCCTTACCAAAACCATATACTCCAAAAGTTTAAGTTGGGAGCAAGCACCCTGGGGTGAATATATATGGAATAAATTCTTATCCCCTTCTATGTCTTTTCTCTGTTGGAAAATATTTCATAAACTTATCCCTACAAATGGCATTCTCAAGCTGAAGGGATCGAGGGGTCCCTCTAAATGTTGGTTATACATGAAGGAGGAGGAAACTATGAATCACTTATTATTTGAATGTAATTTTACTCAACTGGTTTGGAAGTAATTTTTTGAATCAGTTAACAATTGATGAGAAAGAGTTCACTTGGGATAAACTTGTCAAGTGTTGGTTGTTCTGGCAGAAGATAAAGTATGTTGTTATTCCTTTTACTATTACTTGGTTCATCTGGATGGAAAGAAACAAGGTCAAGTTTGAAGAAGCTAATCCAAATGTTGGGAAAACTGTTAGAAACTGTTTAACTTATCTTCATAAAATGATCAACTGGAAAAAATTTCCTAACATCTCCAACTCTTGTCCACATATCACTTATGAACATATTCAAGTTATCAGAGTCTACTAGAAAACCCCAAAACATCCCATTGTGAAGATTAACACTGATGGAAGCCTTACAAAAAATGGAGCTGGAGTGGGAGGAATTTACAAAAATCATTTGGGTAAGTGTCTGCTATATTTCTATACCCCAATTTTGGCTAATGATGCCAGTGAGACTGAACTCATTGCTGTGTATTGGGCAATCCTTCTTGCCACTAAGGCTAATTGGAATATGTTTTGGATGGTAGCGGACTTTGTTGTAATTATTCACCTTTTAAATCATGAGGATGGGGTTCCCTGACATCACTCATACTGGTTAAACAGAATCAGAGATCTTAGTAGCAAGATACAAATCCAGTTCACTTTCAACTATAGGGAAGGGAATAAGCCTACAAACTGGTTAGCCCAGCATGGATCACATTCTAAAAAACTTGAGGTTGTTGTTAACCCTCCACCAGCCCTCCAATATTTGCTGCAAGGTGATACTCTTGAAGTCCCCCACTTCAGAATGGCCTATAAGGACACATGACTACTTGGGGCAGATGCAACCTTACATTCTTTTTCTTTCTTTGTTGAGTCATTGTAGTCTTTCTTTTTGGGGGATGGTCCCTAGCCTTTTTTGGGGGATTTCTTGGGTTCTTGTATTGAAACAAAAAGAAGAGTCCCCAATTTCCTTTCTGATGTCTATACTAGTTTTTTACATCAACAACTAGGGAGTCATAAGCAACTCCTTTTACTAATACACACACACACACACACAGATATATATATATCAAAAGGAGCTCTATTACGGTTTGAGGAAGCATGGTATCCTGGATCTCTGTCTTGGTGATTTATCTAGTCTTAGATCTTCTTGGGGATGCTGGTGATGGTTTGTGGTTTCATTTGCCCTCTTGTGGCAATTGCTATTTTTCTTCCTTTAGCCTTCCCGGGCTTTTGCTTTCTAAATTTTCCCATTGGGTACTGTTCCATTGATCGATGAAGGCTTCTTTTCTGGCTTTATTGTTTGGTGTTCTTTTCTAGGTATTTTTGGTTTGTTGGTTGGAGCTCTTTTTCATGGTTTTTGGTTGCTCTGACATGTTTTGCAATGGATTTAGTTGCAGCTGACCTCAACTTTGTACACAAAGGTTCCTTTATTGAGCTCATTGGTAGTGAGGTGGGTGGTACTTTTCTTGGGGACAAACTTGTGTTTCTTTAAGTTTATTATGAATCGATGGTGGGTCGAGTGATCCTGACTTTCTATATAGATGTAAAATGTGATGTATGTGATTATATGTTTAATATCCTTAATAGTTATTCTTAATTTGCAACAAAGTTAAAAACTTGATCCAAAGCAAAAGCTAAGTAAGTTTTCTACTATGAAACAAATAAAAATACAATTATAATATTTAAAAATACAATTATAATATTTATACAATTATAATATTTAAACATGGGATACTAAGAAAGTATACGTATCGTTATCAAGTAATATAGGACTTTTTGATTAAGCCCGGAATATCGAACCCACAAGGAAGACTATCAATATTCACTTAAGAAAACTAGAAAGTTTAGATGACAAAAATTTACTTAGCAAAATATTCTTACATAAACTTAAGAGGTTATATTAGGAATGAAAATTTGATTGTTTTTGTAATTTTTGATATATGAAAATAAAGTAACCAAGTAATTAATTTAACTAAATAATTACAAGATGAAGGCTATATAAGTAAAATATCTTTTTACTTATCATGAATCAGTAATAAGTATAAAAATTTTGTTGTGAAAGTATGCTAAAAGTGTTGTGTCAAATAGAAGCAATATTATTCATTACCCTTAATAGAGATGCTATAATAAACATTGTCTAATCTATAGTTTGAATAATCTTGAAAATTGGTTAAGTAGGGAAGATACCACCTCTCACTTAAGATTCCCTCTTCTCCCTCTACCTGGGGGCTAACATCTCATATCAAAACCTAAAACTATAAATCAAATTGGGGGCTCTAGTCTGTCACTTTAAAGTCCTCTAATTCTCCACCCTCGAAAAGTTTATTTCCTTATTTATTTGCACTCAACCCCATGAACTACATTCTCATTCATGAAATCAATATATGATTCTAACCATTTGTTGACAGAGACAATACCATCTCAGATCTTACATGTTCTCACAACAGGTATTAACATCTTAATTGGCCAAATCAAGAAGTAAATGAAGTGCAAGGTTTCAAATCATCACAACTTCTTCCAACATTAAAGACTAATACT